GACCGATCAAGCCACACGGAAGAAGATGTCAAGGGCCCAGGATGGGATTTTGAAGTACATGTTGAAGCTGATGGAAGTGTGTAAGGTCCGCGGGTTTGTTTATGGGATCATACCGGAGAAGGGCAAACCCGTGAGTGGATCTTCCGATAATGTTAGGGCGTGGTGGAAGGAGAAGGTGAAGTTTGATAAGAACGGTCCGGGGGCCATTGCCAAGTATGAAGCCGAATGTCGTGCGAGGGTACAGGGAATAGGTGGCCTGGTCGGGAACCCCCAGAGTGTCCTACAAGATCTACAAGATGCCACTTTGGGATCCCTTTTGTCTTCTTTGATGCAACATTGTGATCCGCCCCAACGGAAGTACCCATTGGAAAAAGGTGTACCCCCACCCTGGTGGCCGACGGGGAACGAAGAGTGGTGGAATAAGAATGATTTGCCTGAAGGACTTAATCCGCCCTACAAGAAGCCCCATGATCTAAAGAAAGTGTGGAAGGTTGGGGTTCTGACTGCCGTTATAAAACACTTGTCGCCTGATATTGCAAAGATAAGGAAGTTAGTTCGGCAATCTAAGTGCTTGCAGGATAAGATGACTGCCAAGGAAAGCTCGATTTGGTTGGGTGTCCTAGAAAGAGAGGAAGCCCTAATCCGCCAACCAAGCAGTGAAAACGGATCATCTGGTGTAAGTGAGGCACCTAATGGGGCTCACCGTGAAAATAAGAGACCTTCTCTCTGTAGTGACAGTGATTATGATGTTGATGATGCCCTTATCTCTGTTTCATCAAAGGACAAGAGTGGAAACCATGTTTCTGATGTGAGTCCTTTAAATGCTGTGCCTCAATGCCATCAGATTCAAAGGAAAGAGCATAAACGTCCTAAGAGACGAAAGAGTTCAAAACCAATCCCTGCTGCTCAAGGGGCCCCTCCAGCTATTGAACATATTCCTCGTGATGATGGGCCCAATGATCCTAATCCCATTATAGCGGGATACTTAACTAATGGAAGCGAAACCGGTGGGTCCCACCCAATGGAACGTTTGGAGAAAAGTTCCGATGGCCAAACCGAGTTACCATCAGGTGACTGTAATCATTCTATTGTTCCATTTATGGGCAATATGTCTATTGTTGATCCAATATCTCAAAATTCTGCTGTTGTCCATTATGAATTGAGGCCACAGATGGGTCCCACAGATTGTGGCATGCACGCTCAAATTCAAGATATTCAGATGCTTAATGACCCTCTCTTTCCAGGAGTTAATGATGAGCCACAAAGATCAATGTTTCACTATGGACCTCTAATTCCAGAAGTGCACTATGAGCCTCCAAAATCCGCATCTCAAGATTCTTCTTTGCACCATGAGCTACAAGGTTCCGATTTCCATCATGGATCTCAATACCATGAACTGCATCAATCCTCTGTTTATCAATACTATACTCCTGACGAAGAGAGGTCTCAGTTAGCATTTAATGAACTTCCGACGAGGCCGGATGATTTTGGACATTATGGAAAAGACTCGTTTCAGAATGAACATGATGGTAGATCTGTTGAAATGCCTTTTGAAAACCCAATAACTGGTGTCTCAACTGATTATACAACACTGAACAGTCCGATAAGTTTTGGAATTGATGTCCCCACTGCATTTGAGACCGACTTTGAAATTTTGATCGACGATGACGAATATTTGACATTCTTTGCCTCTTAAAGCTATCAGATTGTGAGTTTTTCATCTACTTGCTCTTTAGTTATTATCTATTGTTCCCTTTCTAAGCCTCATTTTGTTTGGGGGATTTTTGAGGGGATGGAAGGAGATGTATGATGCTTATTTTCAAAATTAATTCTCACGTTATGGTAGTTGGAAATAAAGTGAGGGAAAAATTGTATAAAACTGCATGATTTAGTTGAACTTATAATCCCTTTATACAAAAAAAAGGAAAAAAAATAGGTCTCTCAGAGTAAGGTATAAATTTCGAATTTTTAGTCAACTCAATCAAGGAACAATCTTATACAAGTATGAGTGGTCACTTATACCTCTAAAACTTAGTTCCAAGATTGTTTGGAGTAATTGACTACAATAGCTTGCTGCTTCCGTTTCGCGGTTTTCATATTTTTACTTCAATACTTAAAGTTTAAATGTAAAACCAGCTTCTTTCTGTGAAAAAAAAGAGTTTCTTGGAGCCAAAGACCTTGTGGTCCAATGGCACCAAGGTGACTCTTCCAAATGGAGGTCAGGTCACGGGTTCAATCCCGAGTGGAGGCAATAACTCCCGGTGCTTCAATAGGTTGAGAAAGGATGTATGAATAGATACTACAATTGTAGTTGAGTTGTTAGTGCTAAAAAAAGATTCTTGAAGTATTACTTTATTTTTTTGGGTAGTTAATTTATATTGTGAGCCATACAAATAAACTTTTAGTGCTCAACCCAATCCTTCTTTCCAAATCCCCCAAGCAAACAAGACTTGAGAGTTCATCTGAAGTTTCTTTCTTGAATTTCTAAACGCAGGGTATAAAGATGAATCTGCTACTGTTAGTGCCTAATGGAAGGGAGCTTATTTGATTACACATTGAGGACCTTGACTGTAAGGTACTAAAGTATTGTTTATTTCCACCACAATCGTGTAAACGGAAGTTATCATTTTTTTTAAATTCTCACTAGCCTTCCTTTTTACATTGTGAAGGAAAGTGCTCCAATGTAAATGACTTAGTTCTGTGATTGGCTAGGGTGCATATCTTTTTCACTTACTAGAAATCGAATAAAAAGTCCCTATTGATATTCACGTTGCGTATTCCTTCAGTTGTTACTGGATTCAATTATTTCTTTCAAACGTAAGGGGGTTAATTAGATCATTGGGACACCAATGTTGGAGCTTTTCGAAGTACAACGGAGTCTCTATTTTCCCGTTTTAATTAAGATTGCCAAAGACTCTTCATTTGGATGCCTAAAGTCATCCCTAATCCTCATTGAGACGATGTTTAACGATATTAAAATACTCTGCAATTAAATATGGCTTCATCATCCCTTGCAAGTAAATGGAATTTTATCCAGTTTGTTGTTATTGTTGTTGTTGGCCTTCTTTAACCATTGATATGTTTTTTTGGTCATTTCCTTTTTTTGTCATATGTGAATTGTGATGGTGTGTACCAATAAACCATTTGATCCATGTAAAAAGGTGATTCTCTTGATATGTCACAATAGGAAAACATGATTTTTTTTGGGTGCAGTGAATATTAGTGTGATTGTGGCAATAAGAGCTTCCGATAGTCTCAAAGCTGCGAAGCAGTGTTAATATGATATGATGAGTTTTGAAATCTAAAATAAACGCGTTTAGATCGATTTGAAATGACACGGAGGAGTAGTATTAAGGTAGGTGGGTGACTGTGTGTTGAAGGAGATATCAAAATTCTTAAAATGTTATCTCCCAAATTCACTATGTATTAAAAACTCACATTTAAGAGGATACAAGTACATTTCAGATGTGAATTTTGGGAATGTTTGCGAATTGCGTTAGAGGTTAACGTTAGTGTTTTGAAAAAAGCTATCTGCGTGCAATCTTTAGCGTTAGTGTGTTCAAAGTGAATCTCGACCGTTAAAATTTTATCCAAAACACTAATACTAATTGAAAATGTTATTCCCAAATAAGTACTTTTTATAACTTCATCAAATATTTACGCCAACGCATCATTTCAGCACTTTATTCTTTCTTCCATTACTCTTGTACTGAGTTTTACATGAGCAATTTTTTATTCAAACAGAATATGTTTAGTTTAGTTTTTCAGTTAATAAAAATAACCTTAAGGGAGATTTTGAAACAAGGTTTGATTGATCATCAATTAATTACAAATTTTCATTGGGTACGTAGTAATGTTATAATTTTTTTTAAAAAAAATAAGATACTTCAATTTAATGAAGTTATTTTGTATTAACATATTCAATAATTTTGATTTAGTAAATAACCAAAGTTCATTTGGTTTATCTGAAAACCTCAAATTGGATGGACAGAATAAAACAAACGAACAATAATTTTGTATTTACTCAACTATTTAAAAAATTGTTATGGATTTATTAAATACTTCCTCCAATCCAAAAAGAATCGCATGTTATTAATGAAGTTTGATTGAGGTTATTTTCAATTCAATTTATTTGAAAATTAGTAAAGAATTAAAAAAATTATATATTCAAAAGCTATATCAAAAGTTCTACAAAATAAAGTGTAACAAAACTATATTATTTCTCAAATAGGCAGCAGAAATGAATAAATAATATTATTAAAGTTTAACCTTGTAAATAATAAATAGACAACTTACATTACTCCTTGTTCCAAATTAAATTGTGTATTTACTATATTACATGATCAAACCTCATCCATTTTCTTTCTCTATCTTTATTAGTCATTTTATAAAATAATATAATGTCATTACCAGTTGCATAGATCTTTTGATGCACTTCCTCCGTCCGACAACATTCTTTGCATTCTGTTTACGAGGTTTGACCGATTTTATTTTCAATTCAATTAAAAACAATATCAAAAGTTCTACAAAAAAGAGGTGACAAAACTATATTATTTTATGAAATAAGTAATGAATATACGTAAAGAAAGTGATTAAAGTTTGATCATATGAATAATAACTGGAAAGAACGTTTAAGGACAGAGGGAGTAGTTTTTAAATACTCGTATGTAATGTTTGTTTTTTAATTCTACATCATTTTTCATTTAAAATGATTTTAAAATAACTTAAGTAAAAAATTGTAAACTGAAACAGACAATTTAAATGAGGTCTTGGGATGGAGAGAGAACGGATGGAGTACAATATACTCCGTAATAAGAATAAATTTTATAATTAATCCTTTATAACACAAGACCAATTAATTTGTGACCAAAAAACAAAAGTTGGTCCCACCCCATTTGCAAATTGCCTTAGGCCCTCCATGAAATGACAAAGACACCAACAAATAATGTAGATACATAATTTGAGGGCAGGGTTTTTGGGCATTAGTGTGTTGTTATGCCGAGTGATTACACGATACGAAGAAATACATTTTCGAACACATAAACTTACTTTTGGACGAAGTAAAAGCTCAAAAGTTGCTATCTAAGACAATGCCAAGTACCCTCTGAGAGTCCCACTCAGTATTGAACATGCTCTCAGTCCTAATGAAAGGGCAAGACAGTAAAAGAGAAAGCTCCCTTATTTTGTGTTCATCTCCATTGCATTTATTACAGACCAAACTACTTGCCAAGTATTATAATGTGATCTCACATTACATTTTACATATTTATACAATATATATAACTATATAGTAACACAATTATACCAAATTTGAGTCTCCTTTCCCTTCAAAATCCCCCACTGCAGGACTCCAGTAACATAACCAAAGCATGTTACCACAAGAAAGCATTCTGTATGAAAGATAGTCAACCACGAAATGATTATCGAAAACATGTAAAACTGTAAAAGCTATCACGCCCTTTATACCATTTTATAGTGTCTAATTTGGCGAAGCACAAAAATTAAGAATATGAAAACAAATTGGACAAAGTATATTTTAAAAAAATAAGGCAGGATTTGTTGGGACAGAGGAACTGGTAAATTTTCGTTTAAAAAAGGGGACTGACAAATGTAGATAAACTATTTTCGAAGGCGTAAGATCATTACCTTCTTTGCGGTCCTATGGAGTCCGACCCATTTCTTCCCCAGCCATGTGGATGATAATTGTGGCCGTGTGGCAACCGGTTGAATGGGTTTTCATGAAAGATTTCCACACAGGGTCCATATCATGCTCTATTTCTTCTGTGGAAACCAGTTGACAAACACCAAACCATTTCTGCACAGACACAGCTTTCTTCAACTTTTTATAAAGCAGCTGCAAATCAAGGAAAACTCAGAAACATTATACATCACAACACACACTAGAGCAGAAAGACAGAATTGGAGGATAAAGTACAACACTTTATTATACATACCTCCATGCTTTGGCGAGAAGTGAATATCAAGGATATCACAACACGGGGCACTCCAACCAAAAGTGTCCTTTTCAACAAAGTTTCATCTATCCGCGATGACGCAACAACGTGTTGTGGCTTTGCCTCTTTCAAGAGTTTATCGAGAGAAGAGAAGGTAACTGCATGTAGTTTCTCATGTAAAATAAAGTTCTGGAAATAGAAATAGAAATATAACTGGATTAGTTATGTCCCTCAGTCTGAATTTAGTTGCATTTATGTAAATTGGTAATAAGCAGAACTAAAAAACAAAACATAATAGCAATAAAGACTAACATGTCCACTTCTGCTTTTAATAAGCAAATTCAACTTCTCATAATTATGTAACTTCATAAGGAAGCCTTGTAATCCAGCCTTGCAAAACGTCCAAAAGCTTTCAGCAGAAAACGTAATCTCAATTTCTTCGACCATAGGAACATTCCAATTACCGAACTGATTATCTGAATTGTGTGCTCCAAAACCCATCAATTCCAGACCCATTAAATTTGGAATGTCAATTTCAACACCAAGAAAGGTATTGAAACCAGTCACGATTAGTTTCTTGAGACACGAACTTGAGATCCGAACTTTGCCCGCTGCTTTACAGCTATGCAATTGCAATTCTTCGATATAAACAAGTTTAGACAAAAGATACTGAATAGGAATATAATCTGCAGAGAGGATAGCTGCATGTAATTCCAAATGTTTCAGAGCAATGCAACTTGCTAAGTCAATGGAACATGGATTAGACTGAGCAAATATGAATGTTTCTAGACTCAGCAAAAACATTTCAATCCTCTCAAGCTCTCCGAGGTGAGAAACTTTGACATATTTCAATCTAGGTTTACGTGAAACAGAGAGAAAACTTCCAACACCCTTACAATGTGTAAACTCCACATGTTCCAACTCAGGGCAACCACATAGAATCTTATGCAGTACATTCTCACCAAGAAGTCGGCACGAATAAAGTTTGAGCGTAAGCAGGTGCGGTAGCTCAAAGCAAGTAAACCTATCCTCAAACACACACCAAGTAAGATCTAACACCTTTAGTGAATGAGCAACAGCGACTTCCCCCGGGATAGAAAACAAGTATTTTGGACCACGAGAATGATCCTGCCGCTGATACGACACGATCGCTAGCAAAGAAACATTCCGTGTGATTGCACCCCCCAACCACCTATCCATCTTGGTGGCCACTTCCTTTAGATTACTATGGCCATGTAAGCATAACTTCAAATTCTGCACACACGCTTTTCGGAAAAGGCATTGATCCATGATTCCATCAAAATACTCCAAATATGGGACTATATCAGGTCCATTCATGTACAATTCTTCATCAAGCAACAAGTCAATGTTAGGGTAGTTTAGCCAAATGCGATACCATTGCTTGGATAACACGCAGCAACGGGCTACGTGCTTGAAGGGAAGGAAGGACAGGATGTGGTGAATAACGGATTCAGGCAGCGCCGTCAAGTAATCAAACAATCCATCTCCTGCTAGATCCATCGTTTCTACTGCAAAACAACAAAAAATTGATGAAGTATTTGGAGAAAATCCTTCGTTTCTATTGCCAAAAAACAAAATTTTGATGAAGTATTTGGAGAGAATCCTTCGTTTCTACTGCTAAAAAACAAAAATTTGATGAAGTATTTGGAAAGAATCCTTCGTTTCTACTGCTAAAAAACAAAAAATTGATGAAGTACTTGGAGAAAACCCATCGTTTCTAAGCGGGAACGAACTTACAAAAAACGTATCGTCGTCACCGGCCAAAATATCTCACCGGAGAGTGAGATTCCGGCGACGCAGAGCGAGCGGTGAGCGGCAACAAACACATGTGACCTCCCATGCGACTGGATTCAAAAACTCCTCCTTCTCCATAGCCCGATCAGCATATGAAATTCTCCATCAAGCGCAGGAAAGAAGATTGCATCGTGGTAGGATTTTCAATCTTCTGACTCGTAGTCCTTCTCCTTCTTCTTCTTCCTGTCAGGGAAAGGGAGGAGCACCTGGGCAGTGGCTTCTGCGCTGTCAATCATCACAAATTGTTGTAAGTGCCCACCCAAAAAGAGTTAGGGTCCGTTATATGGAATTGATAGAATTGGAATTGAATTGGAATTGAAATTCCATAGGATTCAATTCCATGGAATTGAATTATGTCAACTCCGATTCATTTTTTGCAATATCAATTCCAAATCCACATAATTTTTGTGCTACCAAACACCAGAATTGGAATTGAAGCCCTCAATTCCAATTTCATAGTTTGAATTCCGTGTACCAAACGGGGCCTTAGCTACTACTCCCCCACTCATATTTTCTTTTTCCAGAAATTTTGTTTATTTATACATTTTTATTGATTATTTAATAAAATAAAATATTACTAACATCACGTTTTTTGAATAATTTTTTCACGTAGCTTTTAAATATGTCAAGTTTATTTTTTATTTTTATACTAATATTTAAATAAAATGAATTCAAAAAATTTAATATTTTGTTTCGTTTTGAAAAATGTGGCAAACATTTTAGAACAGAAAAAGTAAAAGAGTAAAGCTAGTGGCACACTAAAATGATATACATCATACAAATACACACTTTTGTGATACAAATGAGATATATCTTTTTGGTATAGCTCTAGACCCGCAATAAATATTGAAAAATGATACCATACAAACGATACTAGTCACACCCATGTAAGATTACATGTGGATATAAATAAGGATTAAGTCTTTTGTACTCCAAGGTTTATACCCCAATTTGTACATCACATGTGTACATTTATATTTTGTGTCGATGTAATGCTAGGGTGATAATTCACACAGACACAAAATGTTAGTATATATCTTTGTTAACGCAGCAGCATTTTGTATCAGTGTAATCATCAAAATAATAGTATATACCTTTGGTGTAATTTTGAGATACATTTTTTGGTGTAAGTTTAGCATAGTTGTATAAAATAGACTCGTACCCGTGAGTAGTGTTCTATACTTTGAAAAACTTATTGTTGTTGTTGTTGTTGTTATTGTTATTGTTATTGTTATTGTTATTGTTATTGTTATTGTTATTGTTATTGTTATTGTTATTGTTATTGTTATTGTTATTGTTATTGTTATTGTTATTGTTATTGTTATTGTTATTGTTATTGTTATTGTTATTGTTATTGTTATTGTTATTGTTATTATTATTATTATTATTATTATTATTATTATTATTATTATTATTATTATTATTATTATCGTCACCATCTTCATCAACAACATCAACAACAACATCATCATCATTAGTAGTAGTAGTATTAGTATTATCTTTATTATTGTTATTATTACATTGTGTTCATAACTATACTCTAACAATTATTTTACTTTTCCATGTCAGTGTTTTTACGATTCACACTCATTATTTTTCATTTTTTATTTATTAATCTACATAATAAAATATAAAAACATTAATATTTTGATTCCTAATATATGAGTTACAATGCAAATACAATATAAAAAGAAAAAATTTGATTAAATCATATTATGTGACAGGTCTGATATTTAAAATAAAATCATATAATATATAAATCATAATTTAAAATATATTATTTAATAATAAATACTGCATAAATAAATTGATATGCAATGTAACTATAGTAATTTTTTTAGTTTAACATTTTAATTTATATACGAACTTTATAATCTAATTAAAATTTATTCTATAAGTTTTTTTTTTGTGTGAAAAATAACATTACTTTTTTATCTTAAAGATATTGATCAGGATAATGCGATTGTGAATAATAATAATAATAGTAATAATAATAATAATAATGACAATAATAATGACAATAATAATTATGACAACAACAATTTGAATTGGAATAATATAAAAATATACTTAAATAAGATTTGTAAACTTTTCTAAAAGTTTTTTCATTTTTTTTCTAGTTTTTCGAGTTGTACCTAATTTTTTCAAGTTCCTTCCAATTTTTTATTATTTCTTTCAGTTCTTTTATTTTCTTTTAAAATTTTCAAGTTCCTTTTAAAGAACATGTTCAAAATACCGGTTTCTTGAGTAACAATCCAACATGTGACAAAGATTGTCCTTTACTTTTGTTAATCGTCATTGTACACGAAATTATAATTAAGAATTTTTTTTTGAAATTTAAAATAGATTCTTATATCTGACAGTGTAAATGACAACCGTGGGATAACTTCTTGACATATATTTATCCTTATCATGACTATTCCTTAAATAACACGATTGTCTAATCAAGTAACTATCAATCTTATTCCATTGTACAAATATATTGTTTGGTCGATATTTTTCAACAACATGATAGGTGGTGCGACCAATTTCACATCCACGTCACCAATTTGTAAGCAAGAGAGATGGCCAAATGCATTTTTGCATTCCTACATATTTTCAAATCATTTCAATCTCGATTACTCTTGCACTAATAACATGAACTCACAAAACTTTAAATTTCTTGCTATGATTGTGCAATAAAAAAGTAACTTGTATTATACTTTGTAATTAAAAAATTAAACTAAAATACATAAATACGGAGTAGTAAATTTGTACATTTTGTGACTCTAGCATTTGTATTTTATTTGTGACTCTAGCATCACTCTCACTTTCAATCCTTTCAACCCTACACAGTCATTAATGAGATTTGACATAAATGTAAAAAAAGATTTGTACAATCTTTCAAACAACGCTGAGTTCAAATAAATGGGTCTACTTTTTCTGATTAGGATGTGAAAATATAATTAATAAAGCAACCACACACTTAATGTCCAATGGCTTTAAAGATTTCTCCAATCTAAAAATTTAATGTTGAATGAGACATAAAGTAATCTCTACCTTAAAAGTAGAGATTGCTTTAAGAAATCCGAACAGTTTGTAAAAAAGCTTAAGCCCATTAACACAGTGAAAGTAAAAGCCCATGAACACACAACCCGTTTTCACTGTCCCGGCCCATATGTTTGAGTAAATAAGATAATATAATGTACTCCGCAAATTTTTTTGAGTAAATAATTACTTTCTTCTTAAACTCTCATCCTCTATCCAATACCAAAGTTTGATTATTTTTATTTTCATTTCATTTTCTTTAAATAATCATACAAAATTTTAAAATTATATATATATATATATATATATATATATATATATATATATATATATATATATATATATATATATATATATATATATATATATATATATAAACTCCATCCAATATAACAGAAAATTACTCTAGGTATCCTCGATTTGCTGGTAATAACTCTCCGGTCTCACATTATTTAATATATATATTCCATGTATATATGAGGGCACCCTGCTTCTATATACGAAGTACCACCTCCGTCCGAGTGTATTTGTTTAATTTGACTTTTTTTAAATCAATTTGGACAAACTTTAAACTTCAATTACTCTCAATAAATATTGCAAATTAGTATAATGAAATTAAATACTCTCTCCGTCCCCATTTAGATTACAATATTCCTTTTTTGACAAGTTTAATATTAAGTCAAATCAAAAAGAAAATTCCCCAAATACCCCCATTGATATTAGTGCTCTATACGACACTCTACCATATTGTACAATGCTTTTGAGAAGGTGGGTGGGAGTGTGGGACATGAGATAGAAATGTGGATATGAAATATGGAAGGTGGGTAGGGGCACGTGGATGTAGATAGGGATATGGAAAAGGGGCAATTTTGTCCAAAGGAAGAAAAAGAAGGAATATTGTAATCAAATTTGGGACAAGAAGAAGAATGAATATTGTAATCAAAATAGGGACGTAGAGAGTAATAATTTGAAACTCTACTATAAGATAAATCTAATAAAATTATGTTTATACCAACATGCATTACAAATTTTGTGTAATTGACGCTCAAAATTTATCATGTTCATACACCAAGTTGTGTTGATTCTTTTAGTTATTCAGTCTGTTGCTTAAGGGCAAGCAATGCTTAAGTGTGAAGAATTTGATAAGCTCGTTTCGTTCTTATTATTTTCTTCATATCTTAAACGCTATTGAACGTACATTAAAAATAATCAATGTATAAAAATGTTTTTCATAGTAAAAGATTTATTTTTGTAAAAATGTTCATAAAAAGTATGGTCAAAATTAAATCTGTTAATTTTTAGTAAAATCTGTAAGAAGTCAAATGTGACACATACACGAGGATAGAGGAAGTAATTTTTTTTTAACGATTTATTAAAACACAAAGATTATATGCCTCGAGGGTGGCTCGGAGCGTGTGCAAGATGTGTACATGCACACGACCTCCAAATTTGTAAGGCACAATATTGTTAAATGTTCTTTGTTCTAAATGTATAAATATGTATTTAAAAGTCAAAGTATTATAAAAGTGGTCATTAAAAATCAAATTTCACAGTAATTTTAGAATATTTTCATCATCATCGTTGAAGCTAAAGATTTTTTTTGCTTCGGGATACGATCGAATAAAAGAAATTGATTTATTGAATTGAATGCGCTTCATTCTATAGTGAAGTAGGAGTGAGTGAATGCTACTTTCGATGTTCATCAAGGATCATTTGAAAACAACCCCCTTATTAAAGGCTCATGTTGTGTACATTTTTCAATAGTGAAGTACCCGGAGTAGTATTTAGTCAATGCAACTTTGATTCACTGAGTAATGTTGTTGTTCTTAAACTAATTTTAGGATGCAAGTACATTGCACAAAACAAAACAGGGTCCAAAGTGTATTTATACACATGATCTTTCTTATTTTTTCTCATTTTCAGGTCGGCTCTCATCATGCAAACCTTTGACATCCTAGAGAAAACCACAACTATGTTGATCAACATGTCTTGGTTACTTTACATAATTTATGTAGACTTAAACTCCTGTTACTTCGTATTAGTTAAGCTGCATTCCATTCGCCTGATCTAATCAGATCTGATTTTTTGAAGTTCTAATCAGATCTGATCAGATTTAATCTGATCTGATCAAATCTGATTAGATCTGATACGATTTGATTTTAATAAGAATAAGTAATAAGTAGAAAAAATAAGTTGAACGGAACGCTAACTTAATATCTTTTGTATTTTAAATACTAGATGAGACCATAATACAATCATGGAATTTCAAGCTCATTTCGCTCCCCTATATAGTATCAAAGCAAAGTAAATCATATCATCAACTGAAAAATATATTGCCATCTTGATCACAATCACTGCTAAAACACATTTTCCCATCAAGCTTAATAAACAAAGCTTCATTTTGATTCAACCATTTCGCACCCTCATCATGTAATTGGCTTTAATCTTCATGTTAATATATGATGAAACAACAAATGTTGGGACAAATATACACAGACAGACCAGCCTCACATAAATCCAATGTGGCAAGTGACTTTCTCAGGTGTGTAGGTGGGGGTGGGGTGGGGGGGTGGGTATATAATATTAGGTTCATCTTCAACTTCCAAAACCCCTTATAAAACAATACAACACAACATGGGGATAAGTTGGACAGAAATTTACTCCTTTCTTGAGCTTCTTCTTACCTGGTGAGACCGATGAAGTTCAACCATATGCCCCTTCAAGCTGCATTCCGTGATTTGCGAAGCATAGACCTTACCCAATAGATCTCCACACTCTTCAATGTGACACCTTTCAGCACCACTCACCCTAGCCAAGTCGGAGGCTAAAGAATCCATTACTTCTGCCTTGGGCACAAAGCCCTGCAAATGGGATGCCACAGCTTCCATCACCTTGATGGCTGAACTAAAGGACTCGGAGATTTCTCTCGTGTCGACCTGGACCCCGCTGACTGGTAACTGCAGAGAGGCGTTCCTCAACGCGTTCGCAGCACCGGATAAAGATGTCGAATACTCGTCTTCTATGTGGGACCATTCCTCAAGAGAGGGCGATTGCATTTCCAGAATGGCGTGCAGAGTTTTGGCTCTTTGGAGTGTGGCGAGCTCGCGTCGTTTTTCGCAAACTCTGTCGCGCAAGTCTTTTATCTGGCATCCGAGGGAATAGAGCTTCCTCTCGGCTTCCTGTGATTGAGAATGCAAAGAGGCCTCAGCTCTGGCATTCGCATACCGCCACTGAAGATAATGGTTATTGAGGAGCTTCAAGCAATGCTCATCTTCTGGATGACTGTTGGCAACTCTTCTTCCTTTCTTAGAAGCGGCATCCAACCCTGATTTTGTGGGAGGTTGAGGAGGTAGGAGGGAAATGGTCTTTGTATCGGAGCTGGACCTTGTCAGGTTCAGGGAGCGCGCACATTTCGGAACTGGCAACTTATTACATGAATCGCTAAGCCATCTGTCAACCTCAGGCATGGAAGAACGCACGCTTGATGGACCCCGCGTCATGCTGCTACTGACACAAAGTGGAGAATTCGGGTATGATTTTCCGTGTATGGACTCATTATCAGAAGTGTAATCATCTTTTGCTGTTGAGGTTTCTGAGCGAGGACTCCCGGGAGCTGAAGAAGTGGATTCTTGCACCAGTTTAGCAGCAGCGCTGAATGGTGGCACGCCACCACTGTTGTGGTTTGGAGTCTGACGATGAAGAGGATGGGGAGTCGTGCGATATCTAGATGGAACAATCCTGTCGTGCCCACCGGTTACATATGGAGTGTCAGGCCTGGAAGAAGAAGAAGAAGACACCCTCTTAGATTGGGGTGTGTCAGGGACTGTAATTCCGCCATTTTCCTTCAAAATCTTTGGCCTTTGCTGCTGCTTCTTCTGGACAGTTGACAACAATATGGCTGCCTTACTCATAATTTGTGAACCTGGTGCACAAAAGTTTCACCATTAAAGCAAAAAACTTTGTCAAGTTCAAATTATTCCCTACACTTGGTTTATCAATACAGACACAAAAGAATATATATTTTCAATCCTAGCATCAAAGCATCACACCACCAAAACAACAACCTTTGACATTGGATTTCATTTGAAGTTCAAACATAGCATAAATTAATTTGACATGATCAGATTCAGTCTTCATGTTTGTGATTCTAACACCACATTTTCACCAATAGAACAACAACCTTAAAGCATTCAGAACCACAATCTTAAAACTTGAAACTATTTGCCAGACATATTTGAATTAAACACATTCACAATTGCCATTTGTCATCACACAACAAATTCCCCTTCTTTTGTTAATCCATCATTTATATGAAACATTGGTTCATCTAATCTAGTCCTGTAACCCTAAAAAGTGACAGCAAAACTAAAAGTCCCGCAGATCTCGAAACCCTAGATAAACCTAAATCATGTTCAAGTCAGAAGTTCAAAATTATAATCAGCCGAGAGGATAAAATGGTCCTTACCAGTAGAATTTCGCATAACGTCCGGAATATTCTCGTCGTCGGCCGGACGGGTGGACAGAGGCTCGTTCAGGGACTGCTGATTGGGGTGCCGCCTGAGCGCAGTCTTGGATCGTTGATGATCGGCCGGAGTTGCAGAGGACGATGATGAGATTAGAGGAGTCATGAATCTAGAACTCACCTCCTTGACCCTTGCTCGTCGGATCTGCGGCGCCGCCGTCGCCGTTCCAGAACTGCCCGCTCGGCCCGGTGCCTCTGTCATCTTCTTCTCCTCTCGCGACAGCAACGAGATACAGTAATTCGAAAGCGAGAATTGAATTTGAGACTGAAGATAAAGTCTGAGAACTCCGGCGACGATTAATTTTTTATTTTATTTTGCAGATCGATTGGAGAGGAGATATGAAATGGGGGAGAAAAAACTAGCCGTTAGGGGCTGCTGGTCCGACCAAAATGGTAACGGCTTGGATTTGTTTTAAGAACAATTGACAAACAAAAATACTCCGTCACAAATTTCACAAACTTATTATTTCTGACTTAAATTCTTATTTCAAAATTATTTTAATTTAATTTATTATTTTTTTATTGAAATTCACAAATAATAAATTTATAAAATTCATGATCATTTTTTTGTGAACCAAACATTTCTCTTCTTTCAAAGACAATAAAATAAGTTTCCATCTAAATAAGTGTAGAACACTACAACCTATTACATACTTATCAGTTATTATTTTGACTAATGGAAAGAGTAACGAATATACATTTGTCATAAACTTTTGCATTATGCGTTGACGTGATGGATATAAGATGTGATGGATAAATTATTAATGAAAAAGTATGATCTATCGATAAGTAAGATAAGAAAAGAGTAAATTCCATAATTGATCCTTTATAACATGAAGGTTTTCATATTTAGTCCTCTATTATAAAATACTATTCATGTAGTCTTTCTTTTATTAATACCTTTCCACAAATAGTCTTTTTTTAATCTTCTGCCATGTTGGTGTTAATTTAAACGCTAAAAGTATAATTGGCATCAACATTATGTCCAATGTCGTATTCTGATATTGGTGAAACGAATAACACAAAAATAATGACTATGATTGTGAGTCAGGATTCCGACGAAGGACTACATCTGTAGACTATGGTTGCAGTAGAAAGCGACTGTAATTCACAAACGACGCATCAGGAGCGACCTTTAGAATTGTGTATGACAAGAAAGATGTATTATCATTTTGAAATTACACTTTTAGCCCTTAAATTAACATAAATATGATAGAAGATAAAAAAAGACTATTTGTGGAAAGATACTCATAACAGAATGACCACCACGATAATATTTGATAATAGAGGACTAAATAAGAAACTCCCTTTGTTATAAAGGACCAATTACTAATTTTACTTGTAAGAAAAAGTAGAGGTAAAAATGGTTTTTTTTATAGAAAGCAGAAATATTTTGATGAAAGAGTGAGAATTTTGGTAAACGGAGGGAGTACATTAAAATTTAGCGAGTACTTAAAATATATTTTCGCATATATATTTTCTAAATTTTTCTCTTTATCTCGTAAATATAATCTTGTTCTAATTTGACCTATTTTAGAGTGAATAGAAAGTATGCAGGACAACAGGACAACATAACATATCGTAGATGTCCTTGTATTATTATTTACAAATGTTTAAATTAGGAAAAAAGACTAAAGTATGAGTAAGAATATATCAAAATAAGAGTTTCATATTTTTATTATCGGCAAAAGGGTTAAAATGCATGTACAATATCAATCATGACCATATACATTACTAAAAACATTATGAAATGTCCATATACATTACCATATTATCACAGTATAAACCCCTATTTTAGGAATAAAAACATATTACTCTTATTTTTGGTATTTTCTTTATATTTTATTTCTATTTAAGGAATTGAGGTGATTGCTTTTCAAATTAGTCATTATACTCAAAATCGAAGCAATATCATTTATGTACTATTCCTTTTTATTCAATCACGTCCTTCATTTCATTATTTCATACTTTTAATCAAATTTTAGTCATTATATATTAAATGATTTTATCCCTAAATTTTTTCCGTAAAAGAAAATAAATAAATAAATAAATAAATAAATGTAGATTGTTTTTATTTAAAAAAGTTTTTTTAAAGTACTCCGATCCGTATGAATTAACATGTCAATATATGAGTTTCATGTCATCTGTAAGAAAATTAAATGACATCACTATGAATTTGGGATGATAAATAAGAGAAAATATAAGAGAAAATGACTAAACTAGAATTAGAACACTGAGAAATTATTAAAATAAGAGTTTCATATTTTTTATTCCTAAAATAGGAGTACAATGTTAATAATGTCAATATAATGTCAATATAGTAGCAAAAAAATACAGTGGAATGCCATTATACATGGACATAATATCACAGTGCAAACTTTTATTTTGGAGATAAAAGCATGAAACTCTCACTTTGATGATAAATGTTATGTTTTACTCTTATTTAAGTTACTACTCCCTCCGTCCCACTGTATTTGTCCACTTTCATTTTTGCACACCATCCAATACACTTCTTTAATCCATTTTATCTTGTAATTTGTATATTAAAAAATTATAAAAATTATATATTAATAATCTATATGTTAAGACAAATCAAACAAGATCACTATATTTAGGCTTACACATTGAGAAAATTTGATGAGTCAAAGTGCTTGGATGAACAGTTCCAAAAGTCAAAAGTAGACGAATATAGCGGGACGGAGGAAGTATTTATTACATACAAAAGTATAGTACAGAGACTAAATTGCTCTGATTTTGAGTATTTAAGTAAATTCGTCCATTTACTTACAATTTAGATAATTAAATCCATGTACTATTATGTTTTGTTGTGGAAGCATGTTGGCGTATTGACAGAGAAGTCATCCTAAACTTCTCCACATCGAGTGTTTCAGCCACATCCCTGCACTTAAATGTTGAGATTATAAAATTGAACAGATGCTACATTGATTGGTATGAGAGTTGTTAAATAAAAGTTCTGTTCATTCAGGTCCTTTTTTAGAAAAGAGATGGTAAAAAACAAAGAGAAAACCCTTGAAGAACACTTAAGAAAATAAAACAAGTATGAGAAGTTTAATGAGTCATTTTAATTTAGTCTACTAAATTAGATCATTGTTAAAAGTGACTGACTATTTTGTACACACACCCTCCCAAGACCCTACTTTTGTGGGATTCAACTGGGTTGTTGTTGCTGCTGTTGTTAAAAGTGACGGACTATTTTGCATCCATAGCAATGACTTCTCTTGTTTTGGTGTGGACTAACTTCTAAAAATTAAACCCCAGTTATTTTGGAGTAATAAAAATTGCTTTACTTTGGTGTGGGGTTGTTGGACGAGTACTCAAGAATCCTTTATAATGTGTGCCAAACTGCCACTTGTGGGGAGACAAATTGCATCTATGAAGTGAACAAAATGGATAGTATAAACTTACAATATGTTTGGATCAAAGAATTTGAGGGTGATATAAAAAGGGAAAAGAAAAAAAAAATCTTCATGTTTGGTTAGAAAGGGAAAAGAAAAGAAAATGGATGAAAAAGGAAATGAGAACACATAATAGGCTAAGAAGAAGAAAAAAGGGATTCCTTCCATTTTGGCGTGGAAAATGAGAGAAACCGTTTTTCTTTTCTTTTTCTTTCAAATTCCTTGAACCAAACATAAGGTTTGTGTACATGCAGTTTAATCCAAAACAAAACAATGTTACAAGAACCCAAAAAGAAGACTAAACTTTATTTTGGAACCCAAAAAGGAATGTGTAAACTTTGTTTTGAGACAACGAATACTTCTTTTTTGTTTATACCTGCAAAAGTTGTTAAATGTGATTATGTCGGTGTAAGCAAAAAATGAGCGAGGTACAATTTTGGGTACACTAGTGGTCTACAAAATGGTTTTTCCATAATGAAAGTGCAAAGATATTGGGTAATAGAAAAGAAAAACAAGCAAATCTTGTGGGGAGCAAACTTACACAATGCAACCTAGATCCTTTCAGCTCGCTGCATTGACCGAAAACATGTCCTCGAAACTCCTCCGAACAAGGATTATTTTAGCAATCAGATAACCAGCTGAATGGGCATTCTTGCAGAGTTTCCAATCATAGTCCATATTATGTTCTATCTTCTCAACTGAGACCAGCTGAAAATCGCGATACCAGTATTTGAGTCTTGAGGCATTGCACAGTTTCTCGTGCATCAACTGGGATTCAGCCATTCATGCACAATAAGGAAAAACCCACACTCAAACATTTAGTTGGGAAACAGAAAACAATCCATCTATGCTAGGATTGAAATTTAAAACAATACCTCTATGCTTCTGCGAGAAGAAAATATCAAAAATAGTCTGGCATTGTCACTTCCGGAAACTATCATGTTAGGGAAGAATGATTCATATCCTGCAGATGATATGGACAAAGAATACGGTTTTTCCTTTTTCAAGAATTTATTGAGGGAAGAAAAGGAAACTGCATCTAGTTTCTCATGCATAATGAAATCCTGCAAATATGTAACGAAAATAATTATATATGCATAAGACATACTCTCTCCGTTCCATTAAACCCCTCCTCTTTCATTTTTTCCCAATTACCTAAAACACTTCTGCTTTCTATTAAAAAACCATTTTTACCCCTACTTTTTCGTACCCAACCTGTCACATCATACTCTTTCACTAATAACCAAACTATCACATCTTACTTTTACCAATCACATCAAGGGCAAACTTGGAAAATCAACCAAAAATACACTTTCCTTATTTTGGCCCAAAGTCAAAATGGGAATGGTTTAATGGAACAGAGGGAGTATTAAATGATCCGTAACAATATTGATAACAAATTAAGAATTGCATTAAAGCGAGTTTGAAACTAAGAAGTATGGAAAGATGAAGACAGGAAAAACATTGCAGACTCTTCTAACACCATGTTTGGTTTGTGTAATTCGGAAGGAAAGGAAGAGAAAGAGGTATCTCTCATTTTTCTCACCAAAATGGAAGGAAAGTTATTTTACTTCATCTTAGATTATTTTTCACTATCATTCTCTTTTCCTTCCACATTTCTTTTCTATTCATCTCTTACCAAACATAAAAAAATTGTTATACTTCTCTTTTCATTTTTCCCTTTCAAATTCATTGAACCAAACAGGGTGTAAGAGTCGTACTCCTGAAGCACCTGTTATTGCAGAGAATACCAATGCGGTATGTTACTCCCAATGAGTGATAGTTGCACAAAAAAGAGAGAAATTAAACTATAATCACACCATGTTCATTCTAGGATGCTATGTCTTTGAAGTAAAACTCGATGAGGAACAACCTGTTGACCGCTGCACCGAATAAATAATTTCAAGACTTCATATTTTTGTAATTTCAATAGGAAACCCTTTAGTCCACCTCTACAAGCGGTCTGAAAGCTTTTAACAGAAAACCCCATGCAAATTTCTTGTACCCTGGGAACATTCCAACGACTGAACCAGTTATTTGAATTGCATGCACCAGATGCAAAGAAGCGTAAAACAAGTAAATTTGGGGTGTCAATTTCAGCGCCAGGAAAGACTTTGTACTCAGACATGATGAGTTTCTTGAGGCATGAACTTGAGATCTGAATTTTGTCTGTTGCTTGACAGTTCCACAAATGCAATTCTTCAGTATGGAGAAGTTTAGACAAAAGATACTGAATGGGAACATATTCATCCGAAAGGATAGCCCCCACCAGTTGCAAATGTTTCAGATGAGTGCAATGAGCCAAGTCCATGACACAAGGCTGATTCAATTCACATATGAATGTTTCAAGACTCGCTGCAAAGATCTCAACCCTCTCGAGCTCGCCAAGACCTCCAATATGAAGATGTTTCAATCTAGGTTTACATGAAACCGATAAAAAGGTTCCCGCGCCCTCACAATTTAAAATTTCCACATGTTCCAACACGGGACAACCACGAAGAATCTTATTCAACACATTCTCACTAGCGAATTGGCACTGAGACGTATTCAGCTTCCACAGACGTGGAAGATCAATGCAGGCGCACGTATCCTCAAACTTACATCCCCGAATCTCTAAAACCTTTAGTGAATCAGCAACAACTACTTCTACGGGAAGACTATACACAGTGTTTGTATCAAAATACAGCTCAAACGACAGCTCTGAAACATTCCTCTCAATGGCAGCCCCCAACCACTGATCCATAATGGGCCCCAACTCCACCAGCTTCGGGAACAGTTTTAACTCTAATTTCTGTATCCAAACTTTTCGAAGTAGACATTGATCCAAGATTCGTTCGATGTAATCTAGGAAAGGGTGTCGATGTAGTTTGGCCGGGTAATTCTCCTCGTGCAAGACCAAATCAATGTTAGGGTAACTGGAGCAAATGCGATTCCACGTCTTGGACCAGATCGAACAACGGGCAATATGTGGAAAAGGAAGGAATGACAATATGTGATGAAGAACAGGCTCAGGCAATGTGGAAAACCTATCCAACAGTTCATCATCCAATCTTGTAACCTTTTTATCAATGGTTTCCACTGTTAAAACCATCAATTAATAAACGAATCAGAAAATTTGCAGAGCAAGTTGCAGAATCAGAATAAGCCATCGCACATGGTAAATTAGAAAGGAAACCGAGATTGAAGATCGTGATTTACCTAGATCCATATGTGACCAAGTCGAACAATCCTGAGGCGACCTAATCAAGAGATTCGCGATTCTTCCTTTCTGTAGGAAAACCGACTACTATATCATCATCATTTCCAGAAAGGAAAATAAAATCTTACAGTTCGAAGGCTCTTTCAGTGCATAGGAAAGCCTACGATGAGATCTGCAAGCTGATTTGAAAGAAGAAAAAAGAGTTGATTTCGTATAGAATGCATTCCTCGGCTCACCCGGAGAGATCTTCTGTTCCACAAATTTTTAGGACACTTGCATGAACATTAAACTTTTTTTTAGAATAAATATTATGTTATTTTAAAATAAATATTAGATTGACTTCAAAAAATAAATAAATATTAGATTATTTTTGAATTAGTATTAAGTTCTTTCAAAATAAAGACTACTCCCTCCGTCCGAAAATGTTCTTCCCGTGTTGACTTGACACGCTTATTAAGGAATAGTAAAAAAATGCAAAATTTTCAAAAATGCACATACTATAAACTTTTAAATCTCTTTTTATTATTAAAAAAGTACTAAAAAAATAGATTTGTGATAAAATAGAAGTGTGTTATTGATATTTAGCCTTAAAAAGTATACTAAAAAAGGAAATGGGAAGAATATTTCCGGACGGACCAAAAAGGAAAATGAGAAAAATATTTTCGGACGGAGGGAGTATGTTGGATTGACTTCAGAGTGAATATTACGGCAGAAAATAATTATGGAGTATATAACATAGTGAATTTTCCCATGTAGTACTCCATAATAGTATATGTTTTAATATCCCAAAATGATATCATTATTCAATGTCCACATGACACTCTTCAAGTAATGTTTGCCGCTACTGGAAATTGTTCAAGTAAATGTTTATTGTCATTAGATATTGTTCAATATTCTTCGAAAATAAAAGTTTTAGGCACTACATTACAAAAAACATACTAGTATATTTTAGACTTTTAATACAATTTAGTACTCCCTTCATCTCATAAAGATATGGACGGTTTGACTAAAGTGGTAAAATAAGTAGGGATAATTTTGTGTTGAATTTCCAAAAATACTCTTGATGTGATGGATAAAAGTAGGATGTGATGGGTAGATTATTAGGAAAAATGTATGATGTGATAAGTATGAAAAAGTAAGAGGTAAAAATAGTTTTTTTAATAGAAATGAGAAGAACTTTTAGGGACACGATTTTTTTGAAACGTGAAAGACTTTATAGGACGGAGAGAGTACAAATTTTACTATTTTTTTCTCTGGATTTTCCAGTCTACTCGATAATTGTACTTTTTTGTAGCTAGATGATAAAATCCTACCATGAATTAAGTTATTTGTACACCAAAAGTTGTACCCCATTTCGTACCCTGAAGACAAGCACTAATATTTTGTGTTTGTGTGATGGTTTACACTGACACAAAATGCCAACATAAATTATTTTTATTGAAATAACATTTTGTATCAGTGTAAACCGTTAAAATATCTGTGCATCCCTGTAGAGTACAATTTTAGATATATTTTTTGGTATACCCCTACTAGTTGTCCTACCAAGCCCAATGTGAAAAGGTGTGCCACTTTCTCCCCCCTATACGGCTTATATATTCCCGGTAAAAAGATTTAGACACACAAATTTTAATACTCTGTAAGTATTAACTCCATTTAAAAAATATATTTTCTCTTTGTCAATTTTTTTAAATTGTGACACAAATTACAAAAAAAATATATTAAATTTCTTTGCATGATATAAATTCAATATTAACAGATTTATTTTGAAACATAATTTTGAAATATTTTTCCGTACATTTGCCGGCGCATTTGCCAGGAAGAGGTGGTTCGGGCCCTCCGCGGGATGCGTAGTGGGAGAGCTTTGGGACCAGATGAGATTCCGGTGGAGTTTTGGAAGAATGTGGGTTGTGGTGCGAGGGTTTGGTTAACCAAACTCTTCAATGTTATCCTCCGGACAGCAAGGATGCCTGATGAGTGGAGGGAGAGTCTCTTGGTCCCTCTGTTTAAAGGCAAAGGTGACATTCAGAGCTGCGAGAATTACAGAGGCATCAAACTGCTTAGCCACACCATGAAGGTTTGGGAGTGAGTCATTGAGTATAGGGTGCGGAAAGGGGTTTGCATCTCTGAGAACCAATTTGGTTTCATGCCTGGCAGATCGACTACAGAGGCCATTCATCTCGTGAGGAGGTTAATGGAAGAGTATAGGGCTAGGAAGAAGGACCTTCATATGGTGTTTATTGACCTTGAGAAGGCGTACGATAGGGTGTCAAGGGAGGTCTTATGGAGGTGCATTGAGACGAGAGGAGTTCCCATCGTGTACACTCGCGCTATCAAGGATATATACGATGGGGCTATGACCAGGGTGAGGACTTCCGGGGGCGACTCTGAGTCTTTCTCAGTAGGGATGGGGTTGCACCAGGGGTCTGCCCTTAGCCCTTTTTTGTTCGCCTTGGTGATGGACGTCCTAACCCAAGGTGTTCAAGAAGGAGTCCCACGGTGCATGCTTTTCGCGGATGATATTGTGCTTATCGACGACACACGTGAGGGACTTAACGATAAGTTGGAACTATGGCACCTTGCCCTTGAGACTAAAGGATTCAGAATAAGTAGGAACAAGACTGAATACATGGAATGTCGTTTCAGCAGCTGGAAACAGAATTAGAAGTGGAAGTTAAGATTGACTCTCACCTAGTACCTAAGGTAGACAGGTTTCGATATCTTGGCTCGGTGATCCAGGCTGATGAGGAGTTAGATGGGGATGTTGGACATCGTGTTGGAGTGGCTTGGGCCAAATGGCGATTAGCTTCAGGGGTGTTGTGTGATCCGAAGATCTTGCCCAGGATGAAAGGTAAGTTCTATCAATCCGTAGTCAGACCTGCTATGTTATATGGTGCAGAGTGTTGGGCGGTTAAGAAGACTCATGTGCGTCGTCTGCATGCGGCGGAGATGCGGATGTTAAGATGGATGTGTGGGAAGTCAAGGTTGGATAGGATTTCGAACGAAGTTATCCGACGTCAGGTAGGCATGGCGCCGGTGGAAGATAAGTTACGGGAAGCGAGGTTGAGATGGTTTGGTCATGTGAGACGGCGGGATGCTGACGCCCCTGTACGGAGATGCGAGAGGATTACGATTATCAGGGGAAGTAGGGGAAGGGGTAGACCTAGGAAGAATTGGAAGGAGGTGATTAGGCAGGATTTAGGACTTCTCACCCTGACTGAGGATATGGCCTTAGATAGGAACCTTTGGAGAACTAGGATTAGAGTAGCTGGATAGGAGCTCGGTGCTGTAGCGATTGTTTATAGTGTGTTGTGTTTGTTTGGAATTTTTTGTTATTGCTTGTACTTGTTGCTTGTACTTGGTGTTTTACCCGTACTATATTGTGTTCCCTTCCATAATTTTGTGCAGGTTGAGCCGGGGGTCTCTTGGAAACAGCCTCCCTACTTCCGAGTAGGGGCAAGGTCGCGTACACACACCCTCCCTAGACCCTACTGTAGTGGGATTCAACTGTGATGTTGTTGTTGTTGTTCTTCCGTACATTAACAATAATTTTGAAACATTAATAAATAAAGATGATTAATAGTCATAGTATTACACCGTACATTGAAAACTATGAAAAGTCAAATAGAAAAAAATTATAACCACAAAGTAGTGGAAAAAAAGTATATAAATCATAAATTTGAATGATTGGAAATAATACAAAGGAAAAAATATTATATGAACCACCAAATCTTGTTCAAAAATAGAGAATGATTTTTTTCAAGGCAAACGAAAAATGTACGGAGTAATTTTTTTATGGAACGATGCGATCATAAATGTAAAACTTACGAACCACATATGTTTTTGTGGGAATACATACACCACTGTCGGTTGTGATTGACAGCCAGCTGGACCGACTTCAACACAGGCCAAGCGCAAGTGTAGAAAGAGAACCGGACCCCATTAAAAAAAGCGAGGTCATGCACGCCGAATCAGCCTCAGTCTCATGATAAGTATCATGTGGAGAAGGCGACGTATTCAAAACAAGAACCGGTCCAAAAGACCCCAGCGCTAGACTTGAGGACCATGAAAGCCAACGAGCGCATTGATCGTCTCCTTAAAGCAACTTTGTGTAAAGTTGACCCTAACCCACACAAGCTAACGCCACTTGCACTGAAGAAGCTTCGAGAATCATTGCGAACAATCCACGAGTTTTTTGTGATGCGTATGATGTGCCGTTGGATGCTATTCAAAACTGGTATTGGGTTAAAACGATATGTGACATTTGAGGCGAATCAAGTAGCCTAGGTCTTTCCGTTGCTTACCTTGTTGTTTGGCATGAATTGCCTTTGATGTAATAGGGGTATGCCCCGATGCTTTCTATTCATACATCGTATTGACTCGATGGTTAATGCTATATTTACCATTTACCGTCGGCCACGGGACAACCTTTCTCAAGATCACACAAAATCATTGATCACATGCACCACTTGAGAGTAACAAACTACTGTAATTTATTGGCGAAATGAGTATTCAACGTACTTGATCTAATATGTTACTGTAATATACTTAGCACACTTGAGAGTTGAGAGATAAAAATACAAGCTAGAATAGCATGGAAAATACAGAAGAGGGAATGAATTATGAAGTCACATTCTAAACCCCTTATTTAAAAAAAAAGAAAGAGAGATCAGAAAAAGTTGCAAAGAATCTTCAAATATTTTTCCACCAATCGATCGGGCTCAAATTTCATAAAGGATTTGGGTGTCAAGACGTCCTCAGGTATCCAAACGGGGCTGTTTCAAGAACAAGAAGCGACACTTACTTGAAGAATCCGTGCAACATAGAGAGGTGGGCAAAGCTAGCCTAACTTCTCTTGGTGAGAACTATTCTAGCAGTGTGGTATCCATTTGAATGTGTCTTCACAAAGGATTTATATGCAGAGTCAATTTCATGCTCTATTTCCTCCATAGAAACCAGCTTCAACTCCTTATAAAAACACTTGAGCTTTTCTTCCTTGCTCAGTATCTTGTGCACCAGCTGTTCAGGGTTTAATTTGTTTTGTTAAAGTGCACTTCATTCTGTCTTTCTATAAAGAAGGGAGTGCAAATAAACACGAAGTACTCCCTCCGTCCCTCTAAGATCTTCTCGTTTTGACTTTTTGTGGTTTTTAAGGAGAGTTGAAAAAGGTGAAAGTTTACTAAAATACCCTTAATGAAAAAGGGTGAAATGTATTAAATAAGGTGGAAAAGGTGTAATAAATAAAGTAAGTGAGGGTAGTTATGATATTTTAATATGTTAAAAAAGGTAATGAGAAGATCTATGTGGGACAAATAAAAAGGGTTAAAGGGAAGATCTCTGGAGGATTGGAGGATGGAGGGAGTACTAAAATACCTCTATGTTTCTCCGAGAAGAAGATATCAAGGACAGATTTTTGGGGCCTTTTCCCAAAGCAACCATGTCAGCCAAGAAAGATTCATCTCTTCTAGATGATATGATGACATATGTGGGCTTTACCTTTTTTAACAATTTATTGAGTGATGAAAATGAAACTGCATGTAGTTTCTCATGCATAATGAAATCCTGCAAATATAACTAGATTATAAGTAGTACAAGTACATAATAATAATAATAATAATAATAATAATAATAATAATTATTATTATTATTAACACTAACAGCTGTATGAAGGTAAGTTTGATACTTAGGGTCTGTTTGGTTTGAAGGGATTGGGGGAGGGGGCTTCTTCTCCCATGTTTTTCCTACCTCTGAAATTGAAGAGGAGGAGGTCCGCCTTAGCCACATCCTAGACCCCTGACCCCTCCCTCCTCTAGGCTCTAGCATCCCTTGAACCAAGCAGGCCTTAATAAGAATAAAAAAAATTAAAAATAGAAGAGATGATGATGAAGACTTACACCTTCATCTGTACGCAGCCAACCAACAAGCAACTTCAAATCTTCATACTTTTGTAATTTCATAAGGAGACCCTTTAGTCCACTCCTGCAAGCACTCAGGAACTTTTTAACAGAAAACATCATGTGAACTTCTTCAACCTTGGGAACCTTCGAGGAACAGAAGTTGATATTCGAACTCCATTCATGCAAACAAAGGTACTCTAGACTAAGTAAATTTGGGGCGTTGATTTCAACACCACACAATCTACCATAATTATTAATGACCAGTCCCTTGAGGAGCGAACTTGATATCTGAATCTTGTCTGCCCCTTCACAGCCAACAAGTTTCAATTCTTCAATGTAGAGATATTTATGCAAAAGATGCTGAATAGGAACACAATCATCTGAAAGGATAGCTCCATACAATTCCAAGTGTTTTAGAGCAGTGCAACCAGCCAAGTCAATGGAGCATGGTATTGATAGCTTGCAAACAAACATTTCAAGACCCGGTGCAAAGATCTTGATCGTCTTGGGCTGTCTACCAGATCCTCCACACTTAATTCTCAAATATCTCAATCCAATCTTACATGGAATGGAGAGAAAGCTTCCCATACCCTCACAAAATGAAACATCTAGAAGCTCCATCCTAGGGCAGCTACATAGAATCTTAGACAACACATTCTCACTCGAAAACTGACACATATACAGTTTGAGCTTATGCAGATGTGGAAGATCAATGCAGGTATTATGATCCCCAAACATACACCTCTCAAGCTGTAACACCTTTAGCGAGTCAGCAACAACCACTTCCCTAGGAATGGAATAAAAAAGATAGTTTACACAATATTCAGTCTTAACCACTAGCTTGGAAACATTCCTCTCAATGGCTGCCCTCAACGACTGATCCATAATGGGGTGAAACTTCTCCATATGACGACCGGAGATACATATACGCATTTTCTCTACGCATGCTTTCCGGAACAGAACTTGATCCAAGATCATCTGAGTATGAACTTCGAATGGGCATCCGTAGCGTAGATTCGTGTCGACCTTATTATCCAAGACTAAATCAATGTTGGGGTAGTGGGACCAAATGCGATTCCACGTCTTCGACAATACAGAAGTACGGACGATATATTTAAAAGGGAGAAATGACAATATGTGGTGAACAACACATTCAGGCAAAATCAAAAAATAATCCAGCAAAATGCCCTCATATCTTCCGGTTTCACCTGTTAGGCGGCAACAAATTAAAGCAGGAATCAGAGAATTTCTGGAGAAAGTTGCAGAAACTTACTGTTTAAGCTATGTAGCGATCATACAGAAAAGAAAAGCACGACTAACAAAAACGAGGACGATGGCCTACACAGTACAGTACCTGGATCCATTTGGAAAGAAGCCCGGCCTAATCAAGATCAGCTACGGAAAGCTCTCAGTCGGCAAAAGGAGGCACAGTATCCATCATCTCCAGCAGATTCAGTAGCATCGAATCCTCATCGGGAAGATCATATGAGAATTTTGGAGGAAATTTTAGGGCTTTGACGAGGAGAAATCATAAAGGGAAAACTGGGTAGGGTGGTCTCTTGAAGACACATCATTCTGAATTAATCTTTGCCAAAGTACAAAAAAAAATGAAGGGAAAATCGCATGAAAATTACACACTCAAAGTTGTTTGGGAGTGATTAACTTCTGTATAAAGTGATTTTCACAAAAGCTGAAAGCAAAAACACCTCATACTTGCTGCTCCAAAACGGTGTTCTGTGTATAAAATAGTGGTGGTGAAAATCAGAAGCTGACATGCCAAACAAAATAAAATCACTTCTACTCAAAGCAGAAGCTAAATTACTAAAAGCAGCGCACTGCCAAACACCCTCTCAGGGAGGGTAAGAAATGAGAAAGGAGGAGGAACTCTATGTTATCAAATATTGCCCTGTAATCCTTTTTATAAAGAGTGTCTTTTAACAAATGATCCTTTTTTAATCTTTCTCCGTGTGAGTGTTAATTTAAAGACTAAAAGTATAATTTGACATCAACATTATGTCTAGTGACGTGTTTTGATATTGGTTAAGCGGATAACACAAAATAATGACTATGATTGTACGCTAGTATTCCGACTGAAAACCACATTTGTAGACTATGGTTGTAGTAAAAAGCGAATGTAATTCACAAACACTGCAAACGGAACAACCTTTGGAATTGTGTATGACAAAAAAGATATATAATCATTGTAAAATTACACTTTTAGCCTTCAAATTAACTCAACATGATAAAAGATCAAAAAAGGAATATTTATGGAAAAATACCCATAAAAGAAGGACTACTGAGATAATATTTGATAATAGATGACTAAATATGGAACACCCTGTAATAAAAGACCAATTATAGAAATTTTTTTTACAGTTTTATTTTCTCACTCTTCTCGATAATTTTTGTTTATTTATATATTTCCATTAGTTATTTGATAAAATAAAATATTCTTGTCGCGTCTTATTTTTAAAAAATTTTTTATGTAGTTTTTTAACATATAATTTTTATTTCTTATTGATGTATCAATTTATAAATAAAATAATTTCAAAAATCATAGAATTTTACCTCTTAATTCTCATTTTGTAATCAAAATAAAGACGAATGAAATAAAAAAAAGTAGAGGTAAAAGTACAGAGCAAATTCAGCAAATAGCACACCCAACAAATAGCACGCCAAATGGGTAAATTTCAGTATTGGTACCTGAATTTTCACTGAAATTTCGAAATAGTACCTGAACTTTAAATCCTTTCACAAAAGTACCTGAACTTACATAATGATTTCACTAAAAGTCCATCTATCCATTTCCGGTCATTTGGTCTAAATTAGAATTTTATATATTTTAAAATTTTAAATTTGACCTCAATTCTTTTTTCTTCTTCTTCTCCCCCCTCCCACTCCCTTCTTTTTCTTCTTCTTTCACCCCTTTCTTCTTCTTCTTCTTCAACATTATCGTCGATGGCTAGGGGTGGACACGGTACCGGTACGGTACCGTGACCGGCAACGTTACCGTCGGTACCCGCCACCGTTACCGCCGTCGCCGCCTTGTCACCGGTTCCAGGAACCGGTACCGGTACCGCCCATTTCGGTACCGGTTCCGGTACCTATTTTTTGGTACGGGTACCGCCGGTACCGGTCCGATTCCGGTACCCGGTTACATTTTTTTTGCTTTTGTTCATTCCCAACGGCTCCCACGGTCCCACCTGCAAAAAACAGCAAAAAAAATTAGTGGGGGGGCACACCTCAAACGGCTATTTAACCGTTGAGGTGGGGGAGGGGGGGGGAACTATAAATTCTCACATTTTTCCCTAAAAGAATACTCAATTTCTCAATCCATCTCTCATTCTCTCAATTTATCAATCTCTCAATCTTATTATCACTTTTTAATTTTTATACATTTAATATTCATATAATAATATAAAAATTTTATACATTAAAATTTTGAAATTTTCACAATTTTAATATATAAAATTTCGAAATTTTTTCAAAATTTTTGAAATTTAAAATATTATTAATTTTTAAATATATTCTTTAATCTTTAAATAATTTAAATATATTCTTTATTTTTTGAAATTTTCGAAATTTTAATATATAAAATTTCGAATTTTTTTAAATTATCGAAATTTAATATATTATTTTTCTATATTAAAAAATATATATATTAAAATGTCGAGAGAGTCCGGTAGAAGGTCCGTGGATATGGGCGCCATGAATCGAAGTTTGAGGAGAAGCAAAGCTAAAGCCACCTCCGACGGTTCGACCTCACGCGGTTCTCGAGGAAGACACTCCGTCTCTTCCTTTCCTACTGTCCCAGATCATTTAATCGGCGACGGTATGACGGATGAAGAATTCGACCAGATTTATTCTGGTAGAGGGGACGCTAATCTCCCCACTCTTGATAGTGTATTCGAAGATCTTGATGAAGCAGGACTGGATAATCAAGACGGGGACAAGGAGCCTACACCACAGAGCAACGACGTCGGCGTGGAGGTAGGTGAGCCCGAGACCTCTCGAGGTCCGGACAAAGGTAAAAAAATATAAATCAGATTTATTTGTTTATCATTTTGATAAAGACACAAAAGATGACATAGTTTATGGAACTTGTAAACATTGCGGAACCGTCATAAAAATGGGAGTTTCCGGCGGTTATGGCAGTCCGGAAAAACACCTAAGGTCGAGGCATCCTGTGGAGTATGCCAAATACGAGGCAAAAAAGAAGGGACGACAAGAAGTGCAAACCCAAATTTCTTGGTTTGCTAACAGAGGTAAGGGCGACCTTTTTGTTTATAGTGACGAGCAAAATAAGCAAAAAATGGCTGAAATGATTTGTGAAGAAAATTTGCCATACATGTTTTCTGAAAAACTTGGTTTTATTGATTATTGTAAACAGGCATTAAACTCTCAAGCACGAGGTTTTTCAAGAAAAACAATTAAACGAGAAATTATTCGCCAGTATAAAATGGAAAAAATTAATTTGGCAAATTTTTTTCTCAATTTTAATTCTCGTGTTGCTATTTGTTCTGGTATTTGGGGTGAAACTTATCATAATTTGTCTTATATGGGTGTTACTTGTCATTGGATAGATAATGATTGGATTATGCATAAACGTGTTCTTGCATTTCGTGATTTTAATGATCAGTATACTGCTGAAAATATTTTTCTATTGCTTCAGAGTATTCTGCGGGAATATAACTTATCTGAAAAAGTTTTTTCATTTGGTTTTGATAATGCTACTAATAATACTGCTGCTATTCATAAACTTAGAGAAATTTGCCCACCGTCTACAACTATGGGTAGATTTCTGCATCAACGGTGTGCCTGTCATGTTTTAAATTTATGTGTTCAACAGGGACTAGAAGCTATGGGCGGAGTTTTGACAAATATTAAAGAAGGAATTAAAAAAATTTGGGGGGCTCGTCTTATTTCGAGGTCCTGGAAGATGTTCTGTAAGTCTAAGGGTAAAAAAGAAATAAGTTTTGCCAGAGATATCAACATTAGATGGAATAGTACTTACAAATTGATTGCACATATCCTAAGATATAAAGAGGAATTTGCTGAATTTTTTAGGGATGAACTTCGTATAATGATTAATCCTTTTGAATTTGTTATTGTTGAAAAATTGAATGCCGTATTAGAAGTTTTTAATAACGCAACTCTTACTTTTTCCCATGTTTACCAACCAACTATAAATACATTTTTTAAAGAGTGCATTACAATCACAACATGTTTTCGTGAAAGTATGGCTGATCCAGATTTGTACCCTTATGTCTCTCCTATGAGAGATAAATGGTGTACTTATTATTTGTACATTCCTGATATTTATAAAATAGGTATTATTTGTGATCCACGATTTAAGATTGAAAATTTTAAAATTCTAATTGAGTATTGCTACAGTTGTTTTTTAGATAAAAACAGTTATTACTACAGCTATTTAGTAGAATAGAAAAATAAAAGAGATAATGCTATAACTCTTTTTGAGGATTTGTTTAAGGAATATCAAGGGTTATACGGTACTGTACAAGAAGAAACAATACCACCTCCGCCCCCAAAATCAAAAAAAGGTTTTGCCGGAATAGTCGGTGGCCTTCTTGCAAAGAAAGGAAAGCGTGCCCAGTCTTCGACGAGTTCAAGTGGTACAACAGTAAGCTCGCACAACGAACTTGCTATGTACCAGGGTGTGCCATGCGATTACGATGACGACGACGTCGATTTTGACGTGCTCGGATGGTGGAAGCGGAACGAACACATGTTCCCATGTCTCTGTTAGAATAAAGGCCCAACGCTAGAGGGGGGTGAATAGCATTTAAAACAAAATCGCAGGAAATTAAAAACGAGAGCGTTAAAGTAAAGAGCGTAAGGAAGGAGCACACCGAATTTTATCCTGGTTCACCACAACGTGTGGCTAATCCAGCCCCCCGAGAGACTCTCTCGAGCTACACTAACTCCGTTAAGCTTAAGGGTGCTTAACAAACCGATACAACTTGAGAACCCGAGTCACACGAGCCTCAACACCTTNNNNAAAACGAGAGCGTTAAAGTAAAGAGCGTAAGGAAGGAGCACACCGAATTTTATCCTGGTTCACCACAACGTGTGGCTAATCCAGCCCCCCGAGAGACTCTCTCGAGCTACACTAACTCCGTTAAGCTTAAGGGTGCTTAACAAACCGATACAACTTGCGAACCCGAGTCACACGAGCCTCAACACCTTTGCTCGGAGATACCGCACTCCAAGACTTCTCACGAAGGAACAAGGAACTTCCTTCGAGTTTACAACAAGGGAACAACCTCCCTTAAAGTGTATGAAAACACTTAAACACTCAGGAATAAAACTCTCACAAAGAGTAGATATGAGTGAACTAGTAAACGCTCAAGAACACGACAATTTCTTCAATAATTGGCTCTCAAATAGCTAAGAAAAAATAGGAATGCTTATGCAATGAAAGAGTATTGAAATGTTGAAGAATTGTGTGTAAAATGAGAGGATTTGGGTGCCATTTTATAGCCCAAAATGGGATAAACCCGTTGCTAGAGTTTCCAACAGAATGAAGACAAACTTTTCAGAGACACAGGGTGATAGTCGATTGTCAAAGCGTGATAATCGATTATCCAAAGATTCCTTGTCCAAAAATTTAAAATTCTATCCATTGGAGGACAATGGTAACCCAGATAATCGATTGTCAACAAGTGATATTCGATTATTTGTCCTCTCAGAAGATTCTGGGTTTTGGCTGCAAAGGCAGATAATCGATTATTGCATAGCTGATAATCGATTATTGCGTACTTCAGAACTTTGGAAGTTCAAAGCTCCAGGGGCTGATAGTCGATTGTCACTGAGGTGCTAATCGATTATCACCCAGCTAAAGTCTAGCCAGCTGAAACCCGTTTTGAAAAACCGAGGTCCAAAAACGAAGTGTTCCCAAAAGTAAAAACCAGGTTTGGAAAATATTGTATATGGTATAAAATAGTGAAAACAAGACTTGTTTGGTAGAAACCAAGTCTCCAAGGTCGTATAATACGTGCGTACGGTTTAGACCGTTTTTCACGTGTTAGACCGATTGACCAAGATACAAAAGTGGTTTTTATAAAATAATTATTTGGGAACATTTTAAAAATGCTCAGAGGTAAAAACAGGGTTTAAAAAATTGAAAACCACGGAGTTGGTTCGGGCGCCAAAAACCGAACGCCGAATGCTGAAAGCCGAACGCCGACTTAGGTGGTTTCGGTTCTGAGCAAGGACCAAGGATTTTAACAATAAAAGAAATCATCAAAAAAGTTTGTTTTGATGCACAAAAAATATTTTATGATTTGTAAAAATTATTTTGACTTTTTGAGAACCGAGACTTGAATTTATTGTCGGTTTTGATCACAAAAGACCGACTCGACTAAGTCTTCAATTCTTGATCTTGTCCTTGAATCTTTTAGGTCTTGTTCCAAGCCATTCTTCACGCCTTTAGTTATTCAATGAAACTCTTTATATCCACGGCGGTTTGGCAATTATCAAAACCTGTCAGAAATGAACACGATTTTAGTTTATCGTACAAGGTGTGTTCCAACAGTCTCGGCATGCTAGCAAGGCAAGTGTTGTCCGTCCTGGTATCAACCGTAGCAGTTGAACGAGAATTCAGTGCTGGCGGCAACATTCTTTGTCTTAACGCTGAATCTCTTGAAACACTGGTTTGCCACCAAGATTGGCTCTTGGCAAGACGTCGGGCTCAAGAGTCATTGTACCAACTCGAATCGGAGCATTACATGAATGCAACCACAGATGGAAGTCCGAGTTCTGAAGAATAAGTTATAAAACTTTTTTATGTTAATGTAAATATGTAATTAGTTTTTTTAGGTGAGCGATATATAAGCTCCTTCGAGGGTTTCTTTACGGTTCTTTACCTCGTCGCTTTTTTTTGAACCGTCAGGATATTAAATGTGGTTGTTCTTCAGTTAGTTTATTACTCATTTTCAATATTTAAATAACAACTACATTTTTAGATCTTTATTTCATTCTTTCCTTAAACAATTGCAAATTTACAATTTTATACTTTAAAAATTTAAAAAAAAAGAAAAAAATATATAGGGGGGGCCGAACCCGGCCGGTCCGCTACCGGAACCGCTGGTCCGGGAACCGAAAACCAGTACCGGCCGGCTCGGTGACGGTTCCGGTGACATGGAGTGGCGGTACCGGAACCGGCGGTTCCGGAACCGTCCCAGAACCGTACCGTGTCCATTCCTACGATGGCTATGGCAAGAATAAGAAAGGAGTGGGACCACTACAGTTCTCCTCCAAAAATTTCTGTTTCAGATCAAAATTAACATAATTAGTGGAGCAATTAACAACTAGCGTCAGCGAAGACAGTATCATTGGCTCTTTGTGCGTCATTAGCTTGAGAATAGTATTAACAGATATTACCTTATAATAGAATCAATGGCATTCAAAAAAACTAGCGTTAGGAGTACGGAGTAGGAGATTATTCCTTAATTACTCATCGTAATTAAAGAAAAACAGTGATTACTCTGCGTTGTCGAACTTGGTTAAGGTTGTGCTCGAATATCCTCTCCCTATACTGCGCCTCGCCAAACGTTGTTATCTCACGCGCGGATCACATTCATACACTCTGTCAACATCCGTATAATTAGCTGGATTAAACACGTGCTAATTACAATCATTAAGGGATTAATTAATTAATAATCAATTTAATTAAGCTAATAACATTCAATATGATTAATTACCTCAGTCGATGCAGTTCTTCAACATATACCCAGGTTTTTTCTAGCACTTCACCCCACCCCACTGGAGAAGAAGAAGAATAAGAAGAACAAGAAAGGGGGTGAAAGAAGAAGAAAAAGAAGGGAGTGGGAGGAGGAAGAAGAACAAAAAAAACGGGGTCAAATTGAAACTTTTAAAATATATAAAATTGTAATTTATTCCAAATAATCGAAAGTTAACCTGGAAACGGGTAAATGAACTTTTAGTGAAAGGATTATGTAAGTTCAGGTACTTTTGTGAAAGGATTTAGAGTTCATGTACCACTTCAAAATTCCAGTAAAAGTTCAGGTACCATTACTGAAATTTACCACACGCCAAATAACACAACAATCAGCAAATAGCAATATATAACGTACAACCAGTTATACAATGTTTCCCGTATTTTCACGAGTAACTGAATGTCCATTTTTTGAGCAAGTTAATATTCATTCTCGAGTAACTAAATACTCATTTCTCTAAAATTTAATTATGCTCTAAAATGACCATTCACTTACTCGAAAATGAGTACTCTGTTACTCGACAATGAATATTCATGCGAATGTACGAAAAATACTGTATATTAAGATGAATGGTATAGTAAACCTTTTAATCTAATCGTGTAGTATTTTAAACACAAATTCAATATAATGTGATGGTGTAAATATAGCTGGGTGGGTTAACCGGGTTTGACCTGGACACACTCGACCCGTAATATAAAACACACAACAAGAACACAAAGTATGACCTAGACCGGGTAAATCTCCTCAGTCCGAATTATATTTCTTACTCTATCTCAAGAGTGAACTTTAGTGAGAGAAAAATTGGATCCCCTCCTCTATCCAATATCATCATATTTATAGAGGAGGATTTGTGACCTTCCCCTGTTCATCCATGGACAAAATAGGAAGCTCGTGGGAAGGTCACTGTAGATAATGGGAACACTGTACAATCATAGAATTTAGCAACTATAGGCCAAGACATGTACTGTTCAATCAAAGACTAAAATGGATATTCTCAATCCAATCAACNTCCCTTTCACTGTGTGCCTCGTGATGGATGAGCGGCGGGGTGTCCCCTTGACCTCTGACGTGGTTCACCATGCCTAAGAGACTAAACCAATGTTAGCCAAGTAAAGTGATATGACCGGTCACCTTCTCTCAAAAGTTACCCGGTCATTCTTTGTGCTCAACCCGTCTCTGGTCTTCTAGAATGTCCTTTGTAACATTAGGCGACATTTTGGCTATCGCCCAAAATGTGACCGGTCACTTTTTTAGTGGAAGTGACCGGTCAACTTTTGACCCGTCCCAATCGAAGAGTTAACCTCATTTGGTGATTGATAAAAGTGACCGGTCATATTTTGACCTGTCCCTTTCGGTTGTCCGGGTCGGGTATAAGGATATACCCATCATAATGTTAAATAATTAAATCTTTCAAAAATTTGATATATCATCGAAACTATTTTTTAAAATAAATTCAATTTAATCCATCCTTCCTAATTTAAATTACATATTTACTATTCATAGAGTCAAACTTCATTCACTTTGTTTTCCTATTTTCGTTAGTAATTTGGTAAAATAATATAGTTTTGTCACCACTAGTTTTGTAGATCTTTTGATGTAATTTTTAAATATGTAATTTTTATTTTTAAACCGTTTTTATATAAAACGATTTAAAATAAAATTCATTCAAATATCGTAAACCGAAACATGCAATTTAAATTGGGACGGAGAGAGTACTAAATTTACATTAAAAGTACATATACTTTTTCACAATTTTAAAATGTTCTCAATTTTACCAAAAAAGCTGGACGGAGGGAGTACTTCTTGCATTTCCAAATAATCCATAAAAGTTAGAAAAAATTACAAGGTATCTCAAGGAACCAATTCAACCAAAAGCTCAAGCTTGTGGTTGTGGCCCAGGAACAATTATTTATATTCTAACACGCCCCCTCACGTGCATGCGTAGTCTTGTTCGAGCCTTGCACGTGAAACCTTAATTTTTTTAAACTGGGTGGCGCTGAGTTTCGAACCCGTGACCTCTTAGTCAACGAGGCTCTGATACCATGTCAAGGAACCAATTCAACCAAAATCTCAAGCTTGTGGTTGTGGCCCAGGAACAGTTATTTATATTCTAACAAGGTAAAATTTTTAAAAATAATTAAATCATTTTTAAAATTGTTATGAAAATAAAAAAGGTACGACTAAATCCACTTCTTAAATGACTAAACACACTTTTGCTCCATCCAAATTCGCTGAATTCACACTCTAGAATCTAGATGTCAAATGTTAAATTTGTTGGAACACACTTTGTACTATAAACTAAAGTCGTGTTCATTTCTGACAGGTTTTGATAATTGCCAAACCGCCGTGGATATAAAGAGTTTCGTTGAATAACTCAAGGCGTGAAGAATGGCTTGGAACAAGACCTAAAAGACTCAAGGACAAGATCAAGAATTGAAGACTTAGTCGAGTTGGTCTTTTGTGATCAAAACCGACAATATATTCAAGTCTCGGTTCTCAAAAGTCAAAACAATTTTTACAATCCATAAAATATTTTTTTGTGCATCAAAACAAACATTTTTGATGATTTTTTATTGTTAAAATCCCTGGTCCTTGCTCAGAACCAAAACCACCTAAGTCGGCGTTCGGCTCTCGACGTTCGGCTTTCGGCGTTCGGTTTTTGGTGCCCGAACCAACTCCTTGATTTTCAATATTTTAAACCCTGTTTTTACCTCAGAGCATTTTTAAAATATTCCCAAATAATTATTTTATAAAAACCACTTTTGTATCTTGGTCAATCGGTCTAATACGTGAAAAACGGTCTAAACCGTACGTACGTATTATACGACCATGGAGACTTGGTTTTTACCAAACAAGTCTTGTTTTCACTATTTAATACCATATACAATATTTTCTAAACCTGGTTTTTACTTTTGGGAACACTTCATTTTTGGACCTCGGTTTTTCAAAACGGGTTTTAGCTGGCTAGACTTTAGCTGGGTGATAATCGATTAGCACCTCAGTGACAATCGACTATCAGCCCCTGCAGCTTTGAACTTCCAAAGTTCTGAGGCACGCAATAATCGATTATCAGCTATGCAATAATCGATTATCTGCCTTTGCAGCCAAAACCCAGAATCTTCTGAGAGGACAAATAATCGATTATCTGGGTTACCGTTGTCCTCCAATGGATAGAATTTTAAATTTTTGGACAAGGAATCTTTGGATAATCGATTATCACGCTTTGACAATCGACTATCACCCTGTGTCTCTGAAAAGTTTGTCTTCATTCTGTTGGAAACTCTAGCAACGGGTTTATCCCATTTTGGGCTATAAAATGGCACCCAAATCCTCTCATTTTACACACAATTCTTCAACATTTCAATACTCTTTCATTGCATAAGCATTCCTATTTTTTCTTAGCTATTTGAGAGCCAATTATTGAAGAAATTGTCATGTTCTTGAGCGTTTACTAGTTCACTCATATCTACTCTTTGTGAGAGTTTTATTCCTGAGTGTTTAAGTGTTTTCATACACTTTAAGGGAGGTTGTTCCCTTGTTGTAAACTCGAAGGAAGTTCCTTGTTCCTTCGTGAGAAGTCTTGGAGTGCGGTATCTCCGAGCAAAGGTGTTGAGGCTCGTGTGACTCGAGTTCTCAAGTTGTATCGGTTCGTTGAGCACCCTTAAGCTTAACGGAGTTAGTGTAGCTCGAGAGAGTCTCTCGGGAGGCTGGATTAGCCACACGTTGTGGTGAACCAGGATAAAATTTGGTGTGCTTCTTCCTTACGCTCTTTACTTTTACGCTCTCGTTTTTAATTTCCTGCGATTTTTTTTAAACGCTATTCACCCCCCCTCTAGCGTTGGGCCTTTATTCTAACAATTGGTATCAGAGCCTTACTCTCAGTAAGACTTAACCGTTTGAGAGAAATGATCAATGGCTTCTACTCAAAGTTCATACACAGGTTTAGGTGAAGGACAATCGACCACAAGGCCTCCGTTGTTTGACGGAACAAACTACACCTATTGGAAGGAGCGGATGAAGATTTACATCCAATCCACCAACTTTCTCCTTTGGAGAATTATCATGAATGCTGAAGACGTGCCAATGAAGAAGGTCGGGGAAACCAACGTTCCTAAGACCGAGAATGAGTATGATGCACAAGACATCAAGAAAGTGGAAAACAATGCCAAGGCCATCAATATCATCTATTGTGCCGTAAACCCGGATGACTACCGGAAGATCTCTTGTTGTACCACCGCGAAGGAAATGTGGGACAAACTAGAAATCACCTACGAAGGTATGGATCAAGTCCGAGAAGCTAAAATTGATTTTCTAACCCATGAATATGAATTGTTTCGTATGAAGGAGAATGAGAAAATCGATGAGATGTTTGAACGATTCTCCAAAATCATCAATGATCTCCATGCTCTCAAGAAGACGTACACGGACAAGGAGCTTGTGAGAAAAATCCTGCGAAGTCTCATACCGGAGTGGCGGTCCAAAGCCGATGCCATCCAAGAGTCTATTGGTATCACCAACTTCACCATTGACGGGCTTAGAGGTAACCTCAAAACCTATGAGTCTACCATTTTACTCCCTTCTTTAGGTGAACAAAAGAAGAAGGGGATTGCACTCAAGGCTTCCTCAAGCCAAGAACCTGCCATGGAGGAATTAAGCGATGAAGACAACGAGTTCGGGCTCGTCATCAAAAAATTGCACAAGTTCATGTGCAAGGAATATGAACGAAAGGGTAAAAAGCAAGGAGGACCACCCAAGTGCTATGGGTGTGGAGAAGTTGGGCATATCAAGCCAAAATGCCCAAATGCCAAAAACGAGAAGGAGAAGAAACCGTTCAAGAAGCACCGAGCTTACATCTCGTGGGGAGGTGATTCCGGCGACGAATCATCGGAAGGTGAAGAAATTGAAAGCGCCAACCTTTGTCTCATGGCACACGAGGAACCATCGGAAGATGTATGTACCACTTCTAAAGACTCCCATACTTTAGATGATGTACAAGAAGCTTTTAATGAACTCTATGATGAATATGTCAATGCTTCTAAAATTAACAAGGATTTAAAGAAACAACTTACTTCCATTGAGAAGGAGGTTGATAAATTATCAAAAGATAATGAAAAACTTAAAGAAGAAAATAAGTTTTTCGGAAAAAGAAGCGCCGACAAACCGGAGAGTTCAAAATGTAGTTCTTGTACATCACTTAAAGAACAAGTTGCAAAACTTGAAGGAACCTTAAAGAAGTTTGGTGTTTCTCATAAAAATCTCAATGATGTTCTTGATAATTTGCAACT